AGAGCTTTAACCTGATCCCGTAGAGAAATTACCCTCTGGAGCCCAGGAATAGATGGCTTAGCCAATAACCGACCTTCCGCCCCAAGATAGCTGTTGTATGAGGGAAGCCCTAGCACTCGCCGAGGACTTTTTTAAACGAGAACCCATAGAAATACAGAGCCCTCGAAAAACCACTTTGTGAGCCTCCCATAGAGTTGAGGAGGAGTTTACGGAACCAACATTATGGGTGAAATAAGTATCAAGTCCCTGTGATAATTCATCTCTAAGATGGTCTGTGGAAAGAAAGGTCTCATTAAGGAGCCAATGACAAGGTTTGGATATAAGAGGGGGGAAAAAAAGGTTTAAAGTCAAAGAGGCATGGTCGGACCAAGTAATGGGATTAATATCAGAAGATACCAGAAGTGGAAGCAATGGAGCAGAAACGAAAAAATGGTCTAGGCGAGAATAACTACGGTGAGGGGTAGAGTAAAATGTGAACTGTTTATGGAGAGGATGTTTAATACGCCATGCGTCAAAGAGATGATGCTCCCTAATTAATCTACGAAAGGATTTTGAAGAGGAGCATTGCCGCTTCGAGGGAGAGGACTCAAAAAGAACCTTCCTGTCTTTATGGGGGGAAAGAATCAGATTAAAATCTCCCCCAACTATCACCTGCGAAGTGACTTTAAACCTTTTTTTCCCCCCTCTTATATCCAAACCTTGTCATTGGCTATGGCCGAACAAAACACCCGATTCGGCACAAAAGGTCCCCCCTGAAAATCATCAGGCAGGAGGGTCGCTTGATCGGGGAGGGCGTGGACGTTGCGGTGTGCATCTCCTCCGACCTCCGCGGACTGGTGTCCATATCTTGGAAGGGGTGGCAGAAGGACGGGATGGAGTAGGCGGCGGCGAGGACATATCATCAGGTAGAGGTGGAAGTCCCAACTGCTTAAGGAAAGAATCCGCCTCTTGAAGATCACGGAGGACAACATGGGTGTTGTCCCTAACAACCACCAGCTTAAAGGGGAACCCCCAACGATACAGGACACGATGATGTTGAAGATGTGTGGTGATCGGCTTAAAAGCCCGTCGCTTAGCAAGAGTAATCGGAGAAAGATCACAGAAGAGTTGGAGTTTATCACCTTTAAACTCCAAAGAAGATTTGTGGCGGGCTGCTGATAGTAAGGCTTCTTTACTTTGAAAGTAGTGGAAGCGGATTATAACGTCACGTGGACTGGTTCCCTCAATCGGTTTAGGGCCCAGAGAGCGATGGGCCCTATCCATCCGCCAATCTGCCTCTGGGACCATGGGGGCAGTAGCGATGAAGAAGGACAGTAGATGGCGGTGCAATTGAGCATCAGCAACAGATTCGGACAAACCACGTATACGGATATTTTGGCGCCGTTCCCTGTTTTCCAGGTCCTCTTGCTGGAGCTGCATTTGGGACATGGAATGTTTCAGATAGGCATTATCTTCCTCCAAAACGTGAACGTATTGCACCAAATCATCAAACTTACTTTCCAGCTTATCCGTGCGGTCCCCAATCTGGGCTATTTCCCCTCTGAGCTCATTAGCCAATTTTCCCACTTCAGCGGCTATAGAGGCGGTAATGTTTCGTAAAAAAATTTGCAGCTTGTCGTCTAACGCGGAGATTGTGAGCAGAGGAGACGACTTTGTCTGCTGAAGATTCAGACCAGGGGCTGGGAGACCCCCTGGAGTAGGGTTGTCCATAGTCTCTCCTGCTGTCAATTGGGGGTCATGATCCCCCATGTGTGGAAGGATCGGAGCAGAGGTTTGCAGCTGTGCTGGAATTATACAGGGTGCAGTACCCTCCGCGGCCGCTAGAGGTCCGGGATCGATCCTCGGACCTCTATTCTCACTAGAGGCCGGGGATTGCGGCCTATATAGGAAGCGCCGCAGAGGCGAGGGCCGCGGGTCCTGAGGCTGCGGGGAGGGGGGCTTCCAGTGCCCTATCTTCCCCATAGAAGCCTCTCCCTGGTGCTGGGTCGGGTGCTTGGTAAAACGTGACTCACCCGAGGCAGAAGATCAGCTGTAGTGCGGAGCGGGTGAGTCACTCCTGGCCGGGGATGAGCGGAGCTCAGCAGAAACACGTCTGCCATCATCCCTGGTCGCGCATGCGCCTCTAGGAATTTCCCTTTAAATGGAAAGATAGAGATATAAAATACTTAGGAGTAAAACTTACAGCCTCATATAAACATCTATATAAATTAAACTATATTTCATTGATTAACGAGATTAGAGAGGAGTTAAAAATATTGGAGGAAGGAACCCCGACATGGATAGGCCGTATTAACCTGGTAAAAATGGTAATAGTACCAAAAATTATGTATAGATATCAAATGATCCCAATTAAACTCCCAGAGATCTTTTTTAAAGTAATTAAGAAACTGATAACAAAATACATATGGAGGAATAAAAAACCAAGAATGTCATATGAGTTGTTGAGTAGGAGGAAAGAAAGAGGTGGTTTAGGGCTCCCAGACTTTAAAAGATACTACAAAGCTGTAATATTGGCAAGAACCATAGATTGGATATATAACTATAAAAAAAGTTGGGTGAGAATAGAGAATGAACTCAGTGGAATAGATTTGGGTAGGGTGATATGGGTGCCAACACAGTATAGGGGTTTAAATTATAATGTAAACACATACACTTTGAATGTTTTAAAAATTTGGGATAATTTACACAAAAGTATGAAATGGACTTTCAATTCAACACTGATTTCACTAAAAAACACAGAGTTTTTTCCCCCCAGGTAGAGAAGAAATAGGAGGTAGGTGGTTTAAAAAGGAGGAGGTTCAATTAAGAGATATTCTGGTGGGGGATAAAATAGGATCATTTGGGGAACTGAAAAAAAAAAGAGGGGAGAGATCTTCACTAAACTAGATGAATGGCGGTATTTTCAATTGAGGAGTTTTGTTGGAAGTCTGCCAAAACCTTTAAGGACAAGAGACAATTGGAACTTGTTTGAAAAGGTATTGGGAACACAAGGTGATGGGAAACATGGGATTGCTAAAGTTTATAAAATACTCACTGAATTAGATACAAACACAAAGCCAACATATATAACAAAATGGGAAACTGATATGGGAATTGTGATAGATGAGGAAAAGCAGAGGAGAATATATAGATTAACTCATGAAAACATTTCTATGAGAGAAGTAGAGATGAACTATAAGTGTTTGACAAGATGGAGAAATAGGCACAATATACCATATATGGTGGGGATGCCCAAAAATCCAGATATTCTGGAAGACAATAATCCACTTGATAGGAAAGTTAACAGAAATAGACATAGGTCTAGATCCAGAAGTGTGTATTTTGCATAACATGGACATATCAGTAAATAAATATAAAAAATCAGGGATATGGTACTATATAAATGCTGCAAAAGCTCTGATACCCAAGTTCTGGCGGCGAATAGAGGTACCGAAGGAAGAGGATTGGATTGAAAGAGTTGAGCAGATCAAAAAGATGGAAAGGTTGTGTCATATCCAGGAAGATAGGATGGAGGCTTATTATGGGAAATGGGAGAACTGGGAAAAAGCTAGATTATATATGAAGTATAGGAAAGAATAAAGAAAATAATAGAAAAACTGCACTTGCTGATATAAGAAGACGCAGAGAAAAGGAAGAGTAGGAAGATGGGACCAGGGTGGGGGGTGGAGGTGGGAGGGAAACTTGGAATAAAGTAAATAAAGTAGAAATGTTGGCTATTATAATATTATAATGTATATTTTTATATATATGTATATATATTGTGATGATGAAATGTATTTAAAATGAAAACTAATAAATATTTAAATTATAAAAAAAAAAAAACAATGTGCCTCTGGGACAATTCTGCAGGCTTAGGAGGACTAACACCTTAGTGAAAGATTATGACACTCAAAGCCATATCTTGAAAAGTTTTTGGATAAAGGCTATGCGGCCTCTAACATTGAAGAGGCATACAACAAATACAGAATTGAATATTGCAGAAAGGTGGCCACCGAGGCTGTTCCTTTGTTTACATCAAAGAACACAACTCCTAGGAGGGACACGAACCAACATATTGTAGAATTCTGTACCAGGTACAATCAAAAAGCTTTTAGCATCAAGAAAACCCTTAACAAATATTGGGGCATTCTTGCTCAAGATCTCCATCTTTCTACACACATTCCCTCACGCCTGGAAGTGATTTTCCGTCGCCCACGAGATCTTAAAAGCATAATAGCCCCTAGTATGATCAAACTTTCCAACAAAAGCCCCACAACTATGTAGAGCACCTTGTTTGACCAGAAAGGTAGCTATAGATGTGGGATGTCCAACTGTGGGGCATGTGCATACATGTGGCACAGAAAGAGGGAATTTCTTGGTGTAGATGGAAAGACCCATTTGATCAAACAGTTTATAAACTGTGGCACACAGTTTGTTGTATACTGTTTAGTCTGCCCTTGTGGGCTCTTATTTGTGGGCCGCACCACACACTCACTTAGAACCAGATTTGGAGAACATAAGCGAAATATACTACATGGATTTGATAAACATACGGTGTCCTGTCACTTTAGTGAAGTACATAATGAGAGCCCTATGGGTCTCAAACTATTTGGTATAGAAGCCATACAGGGCGACACTGACACAGGCAGAAAGTTTCACAAGCTCTGCAAAAGAGAATCCTTTTGGATTCACAATCTTGACACTCTGGTCCCCAAGGGTCTTAATGACGCATTAGATGTACAGTCCCTCTTTTGAGTAGTTATTTTTCAGGTGCAATAAAAGTGCTATCAATGTTGATTTTTCACAGACCTTTATATGGTCTGTTCATTCTAGAACCCTGGCTTATTTTTACAGTTCAGTGTTGGTAGATCTACATCATGCATGTTAAACCCATGTTATACCATAGGCTCTATGTAGAGGGGCTCGTTTACACGTGTCCTTTACATAGTTCATCTTCTAGCATTATGTTTCAGAATACTAATGACAAGGGCATTAGTCCATATATATATATATATATATATATATACAGGCCTTGAAATTTCCACTCGCCTGCTCGACAATGGCGAGTGGAAATTATGGTGGGGGCGAGTGTGTCCCCCAGGGCTGTCTTGCTGAGCAGGCTCGGAGCTGAGGCCGGATCTGTCATTGGCACTGGGAGCCGTCAGACTGCTCAATAGCTGAGCGCAGTGAAAGTAAAGGAAGGAGTGTGTGCTGTGCTCTCTGCCTCCCCCTAGAGTGCAGTATCCGGCTCTGTGAGTGAACAACGAAGTACTGCAACTTTTTAGTGTGTGTGTGTATGTGTGTGTGTTTGTGTCTAATTTCAGCTCACTCTGATCACATGATCCTCTATGTCAGCCAGTGGTGGCTTCAGGGGAGAGGAGAGAGCATTTAAAAGCATGTGTTTGTGTGTGTATGCATGTGCATATCTGTACATGTGTTTGTGTGTATGTACATGTATGTGTGTTTGTGTGTATGTACGTACATGTGTCTGTGTATGCATGTACATGTGTCTGTGTGTATGTACAGTTGCAAGAAAAAGTATGTGAACCCCTTGGGATTACGTGGAGTTTTGCATGAATTGGGCATAAAATGTGCTCTGAACGTCATCTAAGTCACAACAATAGAAGAACACAGTCTGCTGAACATAATACTGCACAAACATTAGATGTTGCCATAGTTTAATTGCACATAACATGTAAACATTCACAGTGCAGGGAGGAAAAAGTATGTGAGGCCCTAGCTTAATGACTTCTCCCAGAGCTAATTGGAGCCAGGAGTGAGCCAACCTTGACTCCAATCAGTGTGATGATATTGGATGTGTTGCTGACAGCTGTCCTGCCCTTAAAATAATAGTAATAGCATGTAATAGCGTGTAGCGGGTAGCAGCCAGATGTGAAGAGGTGTGACGTGGTCAGGCAAGCCGGGTAGGTAACAGCGAGGCAGACGGTACAGATCTAAAGACAAAGCGTAATTGGGTCACAAGCCGGGTTCGGTAACAGGAGGTCAGACAAAGGGAGCAGGCAGAGCATGGTCAGGGCGAGCCAAAGGTCAGGGCAGGAGAAGACAGCGGTATCAGGTCCAGGCAGGGTCAGCAACAAGGCAATCAGCATACAGGAAGAGCAGGAACACAGGAACAGGGAGAAGACCATCAGGCAACTTGTGTCTGTGCAGGGCTGGTTTAAGTAGCCCTCCCGGCGCTGACAGGCGCGCCTGGGTCCTAGTGCCTACCCAGCACCGTCATAGGTGACAGGCGCGCCTGGGTCCTAGTGCCCGCCTGCCTGCATGTCTTGTCGGACACCTACGCATGTGCAGACTCATGCGTCGCGGTGGTCCCTGACAGAAGCCAGTGAATCAAGGGATCTGTTTCAACTGCGGAAGAGTGGGCCACTACCGACGCCACTGCACAAGTCCACCAAAGCACAGAAGTCAGTGCTTGAAAGCTGGTGAGAAATCTCAGTGGGCCCCGGGGAAGGAGCCAACTGGGTGACCATCTTCAGCAATTAGCTCCAAAGATATGAAGAAACCACAGAGGAAGCCCAAATCCTTGCAGAGGGCCCTCACCGCTGTTTCTGAGCAATCAGATAACATCGACCTCAGGTGCCTGGCCTCAGAAAGTCACACCAGCCCTCTGGGGCACAATGGAGGCGCAATCAAGCCAAGAAGAGCATCAGGAAAGGAGCACAAATACAGACAGCAGGACATACTATCCACCCTACTCCCAGCAAATTCCCTGAAAAACTAGTGGGACCTCCTCCCATCATGCCAATTCAAGTGGAAGGCATCTATACAAAGGCCCTTCTGGTGCACCCTGCTATACCGAGACTTTTACGACAGGCACCTAAAACATGTGCCCTTGCAGAAATTGAAGGAATTAGAAATATGGGGTCTGGGACTCAGAATTTAACATATGACAGTTACTCACCAGTCAAGCTGACTTTCAACCCCTCCATGCCCAGACAAACAGAGATATTTGATACACTAGCTGTTGTATACCCTTGCCCAGCAGGAGCCAACAAGAGTTCGCTGATAATGGGAACTAACACTGACCTCATCAGGAGACTACTCACTTCTCTTATCTTGGAGTCTGACACCCCAACCAAGGGCATACACTCTATGTTGGAGCAAGTGTATCAGCACCTAATTCAAGAACATAAAGCTCCAGCTGAAGGAGTGGAGAAAATATGGTGATTAGACAGAAATGAGAAGCTACAGCAACCTGGAGAGGTAGCGTGCCTATGAACCTCAGTCAAGCTCAATTGGGAGCAACCGGGCCCTTTTGTTGTCCTTGAAGCTCACTTCCAGGGAGAGGACATGAGGTGGAGGTTGTCCCAGAAGTGATATCAATAAATTCTTGCAACGAAGCCACGGGAAGATTCCAATCAGTGTCCGCAACATCACTGACTCACCAATAACATTGCAGGCCTAAATGCTGCTAGGACAAATGAATCAAGCCACCCCAGTCCTACCATCTGATTTGGGGGGGAGCAAAAGATGGGGAGGAAAGAGTTGGAGGAAAGCCCCAGCTCCAGAGGGAGATGTTCTTGAAAAGTGAATTTGACATGGGGTGTGCAAAGAGTGCCCAACACCGGAGTCGTCTTAAGGAAGATAAACCATTTAGAGAGAGGGTTTGATAGATCCCACTGGGTGATCTGGAAGATCTCAGTGAACAACTAGCAGAGCTAAAGAGAGAAGGCATCATACGAGAGTCAAGGAGTCCATATGCCTCTCCCATAGTGGTTGTGTGGAAGAAGAATGGTTCGCTGAGACTGTGTACCGAACAACCAGAATTTAACCAGGGAAATATCCCTAACCAATACACCACTCCGAGAATAGAAGATGCCTTACAGAGCCAGTCAGGGGCAAAATGGTTCAGTGTACTGGACTTAAAAAGTGGGCACTATCAAATCTCCATTCACCCTGAAGACAGGGAGAAGACAGCTTTCCTTACCCCACAGGGGTTCTTCAAGTTTGATAGGATGCCCAAAGTCTGTCTGGAGCTCCAGCAACATTTCAGAGATTGATGGAGACAACTGTGGAAGACATGAACCTGATTGAAGTATTGGTGTATCTAGACAAAATTATCGTCTTCGGTAAAACCCTTGAGGGACATGAGGAGTGTCTGGAGAAGGTCCGGAAGAGACTCCTTGATGAGGAATTGAAGTTGTCTCTAGACAAGTGTCAGTTCTATCAGCCCTCAGTCAGTTACCTTGGGTGTGTTATATCCGCTGAAGGTATAGCTGCTAACCCCCAGAAACTTGAAGTTGTCACCTCCTTGCCAAGACCCACCAATGTAACTGAGCTTAGGTCATTCCTGGGGTTTTGTTCATACTACAGAAGATTCGCTAAAATAGCTTGGCCCTTTAATGAATTACTGAAGAGTAAGGATGATGGTGATCTGGACTTGACAAAGCGGTCAAACAACAGAGGGCCCAGGAAGCTTCGAGAGTTAATCGAAGACCAGCGGACTGATCAGTGTGAGCAAGCCTTCTGTCAATTGGAATGGAGCTTAACAACTGCCCCCATTCTAGCTTATGCTGATCCAGCTAAACCATATGATCTGCATGTCGATGCCAGTAGAGATGGGTTAGGTGAGGTGTTGTATCAAGAGCATGATGAACATCTGCAGCCTGTTGCCTATGTAAGCAGACATCTTACACCCACTGAGAAGAACTATCCTACCCACAAAGTTGGAGTTCTTGGCTCTGAAATGGGCAGTGGTGGACAAGCTGAAAGACTTCTTGTATGGTGCAGACTTCATAGTCAAAACTGACAACAACTCACTCACATATATCACTACCACAGCCAAGCTGGAAGCCACCGGGCATAGGTGGTTGGTAGCCCTGTCAGGGTTCCATTTCAGTTTAAAGTACCATCCAGGGGTCGGGAACCGGGATGCTGACGCCTTGTTGAATAAACCTTATGACACTGAAGACCTATGGTCAATGCCCAGATCTGCTGCTGGCAGACTCTCCAAAAGAGACACGGTTATTGCACAAGGAATGGAATCAGTTACACAATGGGGTGGTCTATCGAACGGGCCCCTCAGATGATCCTGAAAATAAGTGCCAGTTATTCTTGCCAGAAAAGCATAGAGAGGCTGTGCTGACTGCCCTACATGACAATCATGGTCACTTAGGACATGAAAGGACGTTCAGACTAGTGAGAGACCATTTCTATTGGCATTGCATGAAGGCTGAAGTCAAGGGGTACTGTCAATCTTGCATGCACTGTATACAGAGGATGACTTTACCCAGCAGGGCTGCCCCAATGGGCCATCTTCAAAGTCTAGGACCAATGAAATTGATGTGCATTGACTTTCAGTCACTGGAACCTGACTCAATTGGACAGGGAAATGTCCTGGTGGTAACCGACCGCTTTACCCGGTATGCCCAGGCATTCCCAACCAAAGAAGCATCTACGGAAGTGAAAATTCTGAAAAAGTACCTTGTTCACTATGGTCTGCCCCAACGTATTCACTCTGATCAAGAAAGAGACTTTAAGAGCAGGCTAATTAAGAGACTCTTAGACCTGTTAGGTATTCAGAAGTCAAGAACAACCCCCTACCATCCTCAAGGGGATCCTCAGCCAGAAAGGTTTAATTGCATCCTCTTAGATATGCTTGGAACCCTTACCTCAGAAAAGAAACAACATTGGTGCAGGCACATTGCAGCCTTTGTACATGCCTACAATACCATTGAAAATTATGCCACCAGCTATTCACCATACAGGCTAATGTTTGGGAGGGAAGCTCGACTGCCAGTTGACTTAGCATTCAGCACCTCTTTAGATCACACCTCTGTCACACAAATGATATGCAGATAGCCAGATGCAAAGTCTGAAAGCAGAGTATGAAAAGGCCCAGGTTGCCTCAGACACTAGGGGGCAGCGAAACAAAAGAAACTTTGACCTGAAGGTGAGAGTACATGATTTGCAGACTGGTGACATAGTGTTGCTGAGGAACTTGGGTGTCCCTGGAAAGCACAAGTGGCTGATTGTTGGAAGTCATAACCTTACATTATCTGTAAGCAGAAGCAGTTTATGTATCTCAGCAACCAGATCCACAGTCTGCTCAAACCACCACTCAGAAATCATGCCCAGTAACCAGGTCTTGGTCCTTGCTACCAAGTGCAGATGAAGAGTACAGTGAGGAAGAAGAAATGGGCAGGGATAGACTGTGGCCATCTACAATGTCAGAGGCTGCCACTTTTCCTTCTATAGAAATGGATACTGGGACCCTCAGGTCAGAGGCTAAAGAATTTATGCCTCGGACCCAGTCTCGACCAAGTCAAGAAGATCCTCAAACCCCCTTGACCACAGAGGACACGGAAACTTTTCAACCTTCTATGGTGGAAGAAGGAGAGTCCATTGTACCTGAAACACCTGAGTCTAAAGGTCAAAAGGGTAAGCGAACAATTCACCCCCCAAAAAGACTAACTTGTGACACTTTTGGTGAAAGATCAGAGGAAGCCATCTTAACCTCTCAAAGAACTCACAACATGCTGACCCTTACCACTGCAGATTTAGT